CAGGTCCACACAGGCAACGCTGACAGTTTATTCATTATGTCGTCTCGTAAATGTCAAGCATCCTCCTGCTGTCTAAGCGTTTCCAACGATTGGCTTCTGAAGAAATTCGAAAGCTCAGAGCAATAAGAGAGCTGTTCTGGTCTTAGACCTGTCTTCTCTTTAACATGATCAACAGGTTCGCAATGTACTGGATCGTGGACTAACAATTACTCATAGTCGGCTTCTTACTCTTCGTCTCGAGCAAATAGAAGGGAGGGGCTTATGTGATGTGGCCCCTGTCATCAAAGTTAATATGAAGCAAATAACCTTTTGTTAGGATGTTCTCCTGCCTTCTTGGCGGTCGGTTCTGTGGACAATCCATGCCCCGACATTTCCTGACTTCACCTTGCACCGGTCCTGCACGCGCCACAAAAGGCGTATCTGCTACTGCTCTCTGCTTATGTCTCTGATGATGAATCCGCGACGGATCTCGAAACGTCGTGCAAATAAAAGTATTGTCCCAGCGATCGAGTCGTCTTCTTCTCAAACGGCGTAATCTCTAGGACGCTTGAGGAGGACTCCTTTTGTGCATATAATCAGGGTCGAATCCGACGGACTTAGCTGGCTGAATTATAAGCTCCAACTTATTGGAGTTGGCCTGCTTTCGGACTGACTATGCGAGCCAATTACTTCCTCATCAGCCATTCAGTGGTTTTAAACTTAGGAGAAAAGTAAGATGCAATCGTCGAGGGGTAGAATATTTTCGAGTATATGACCTGTTTGGGGGAGGACTCTCGCACTTGGCTTGTCTGTTTAAAAATTGAAATTTTTATTTTCATTTGCTTCTAGTTCCACCGGAATTCGAGCCGCAACAGGATCCCCCGTCTCAGACGCTGGACGAAGGAGAATCAATTCTGCTCAGTTGTCGCATTCGACGTCGGGCCATTCCGGGAAGTCGCATCTACTGGGAAAAGGACGGCAGACCATTAGTGAACTACGGAAAGGTACTTTTAGCGCCTTTTCCTGCCAAGTTATGTCAGAAGTCTGCAGAAAATAACAAGGTATCCTATCGCGTCGCCGTAAAACCACGAAATTGGGTCGTTATATGACCTGAAAAAATTCTTTTGGTGGGAAATGGGAATAATACCTCCCGTGACACAGATGGCCTTGCGCTAGGCTCCAGAGAGAGTAGGGTTTGTGGTTGGGTTATGACATGGAATACGCAACCCCCTCCCCTTTTAAAGTTAGTACAAGGCCACTTCTATTATGCGTCATGGAGTACCGTATAATCATATCACATCACACAATTTTGTCTTACACTATGCAGGGTTCAATGCAGGCGATGCTTGAAACATTTGGATAACTGCAGAGTTCTTTTTTTACCAAATACTCTCTAGAACTCTGTATTTAACTCCCGATTCCTGACTTTTATTATTACTTCGTAGTCTGTTGTCGAGCGTTCGGTCAACAGCCTTTGGTGTATTTCATTGAAAACTGCTTCCTATTTTTTAGTACTCTAAATTTAGCAGTTCGTGAAGAGGCCGGATGGGGACATCCGGGCAGCGTGAGTTATCTGATGATTTCTTCCCCCAACAAACGATTTTTGTCAAATTCTCGAAATGCTTAGTGTGCGGGAGGGGGGTGGAAAGTCCGATCATCTACAGGGCTCTCTCGTATTCGCAGTCATCATGGTTTGATCTGTGCACTAGGACACGGCGAGTGTACAAAATAGTGGCAGATGAAAAACGTTACCCTCCACTTTTTGCCCCTGCACATTTAAAATTAATCCCACAACGAGAGCTAGTAACGGTTCTTCGTTCAAGGAAATTCTTAGTGGCAGCTGCACGGGCTTCGTAAGCATGTGCACTCCTATGTAAGCGGCAGTGTCTGGCCGTTTGGCTTTCCTGATGACTCTTATACTTTTACTTGCCTCTTCCTTAAAGGATATCATTCTCGAGGGTGAGGGTGAACGTCTGAGGTTCCCGCGAGTGACCGTGGACCACCAGGGCCTCTATCAATGCTTCGTCTTTACCGATGGCTATCCGAAGAAGTT